CCAACCTTTTTTTCTTCGGAACTTTCATGTTTGGAACTGTTGTATGCCAGTTAAGGCCCAATCCTTATGCTGGGTATTTCAGGAAAAAAAAAAATTGAATTAGAGCCATTGGGTGGTTCTTGAAATATCCAAACAAGGAAAAAATTGTGGGCTCCCTTCTTCCCCCAGGGTCAGGAATAGATAATGAAGAACTGACTTCAGAATTGGCCTGTGGATGGATGGTCCAACATAAAAAAAGGACAAATAGTTTGTACTTGAGGACAAGACATTTTGGAGCGGGGACTGAGAACAGAGAACGTGAATTTATCCCCTCCTTTTTTTTTTTTCTTGTGGGAAAGAATATTAAGTTACACAAAGATAGATTTTATTTAACCATAATAGCAGCTTTCAGTGCATAATGTCCAAGCTGTGACACAGCTAATTCTATGTCACATAGCTACCTACAGTCTGTGCTTGCCGCGTTTGCAGGCTCACTGTCCTTTGGGTAGCCAACTGCATGTCCTGACAGCCCCTGGCTTTTCTGCTTGCCGTGGTCATCCCTTTCCGGTGCTGCCGAGTTGGGAGTGGAGACGCGACACCAGGGAGAAAGTTTTAATACTCTCGGTGTGAAATCCCCTAATGAGTTGTCCGTGAGCTAAAACCAAGAGGACTCTTGAAGAAGACCTCATCCCTGTTCCCTCCGTATATTCACGGCCACCCTCACCACCTCCCATCAAACCTCTCAGAGCACCATTTTTGCTGTAGTACAAGAGAGGAAGTCAAGAGGTCTGTACTGACCTGGGGGCCTCACATCCAGTGGGCCTCCTTTGTTCATGTGAACCCCGGCTCTTCTGCCTTACAATTTTTCCTTTTGTTCTTCCTCTCTAGGACGTCTTGATGTTGAGGCCTTTAATAGTAGGTTCTACTGACTAGAGGCACATTTGTACCTAAGTCTGTCTTGTACCACCATGATGAAACACCTAAAACAAGAAGTTTGTAGAGAAAAGCGCTGTCTAGGAGGCTCAGGTCCAGTTCTGGCAGACCCACGACTTTGGAGTCTGGTAAAGGCACAAGATGACACTGTTGGGGCAAATGTCGATGCTAAAAGGCAGAGTGAGCAAGCTTGGGGACCCACAGCCTCACTCACTCACTAGGCCCTTCTCAGCCCCTCCCACCACAGCACCCTGGAGCCATGTCTTTATATATGTGTATTTGGGGGACACCAAATGGCCACAAAGGGGGACTTGAGACAAGCATGCACCTTTCTGTCACTATGATGTGCTTCAGTGGCAGCCTCTGGTTAGAATGAGGACTTAGGGGAACACAGGAAGAGATGGACATTTTGGGTAGATGAGCCTGGCTTTGAATCAGGGTATTGCTAACTGGCTCCGAGTCTTTAACACATGCCTTCATTTACAAAAGCCCGTTTCATCAGTGGGAATGATACAGATGCAGAGCTTCAGGAGTGCTAGAGAGGGTTAAAGATGACCCAGGCTGGGACAGTGCCAGTGTCTGTCTGTCTCCCTATGCCTTCAGTCCTTCTGCATGAAAACCCGAGGCGAGAGTTTTGACTTTTCTGCCCGAATTACCTAACATCTGTTTCTTTGTTTCAAAATCACCCAAGCTGCACGTTTCCAAAAATATTCATTTTTACTTATGAGTCTGCATGTGTATGCCATGTATGTGTGAATGCTTGTGCAGGTCAGAAGAATGCACCAGGTTCCTTGGAACTAGAGTTACATGTGCAGTGTGTGATTCTAGAATCTTCTATTATATACATGGGGGAGTATGGATTCTCTTTTAATCAACTGTGTGTGTGCGTGTGCGTGTGCGTGTGCGTGTGCGTGTGCATGTGCATGTGATGTATGTGTGAATACAGGCATGCTTGTGCCACAGTCATGTGGAGGTCAGAGGACAACTTCCGGTTGCTTCTCCCCTTCTACCTCGTTGAAGCAGGGTCTGTCTTGTTATTTCTACTTCACCGAATCCTCCAGGCTAGCTGGCCTCAGTGCTTCTGAGTGCTTCTCTTGTCTCTGCCTCCCATCTCCTTGCAGGAGGAGCAGGGATGACAGATGTGTGCTGCTGCAGCTGGGTCTTTTGGGGGGTAGTGGTAGTTAGTGTGAGTTCTGGTGATTGAATGTGGGTGGTCAGGCTTGTGCAGTGGGTGCCTTCACCTGCAGAGCTCTCTTTGGCCCTGGGTTCTCCTTTAGTGGGGATTTTTGGTCTCGCCTTTGTTTGTTGGTTTGTTTGTTTGTTTGTTTGAGACAGGGTTTCTCTGTGTAGCCCTGGCTGTCCTGGAACTCACTCTGTAAGCCAGGCTGGCCTCGAACTCACAAAGATCTGCCTGTCTCTGCCTCCCAAGTGCTGGGATTAAAGGTGTGGACCACCACCTCCTGACTAGTAAACCTGAATAGAATCTGAAAAATGTTCTCACCCGTGTGTGTGTGTGTGTGTGTGTGTGTGTGTGTGTGTGTGTGTATTTATATTTGCTTAAATCAGACTTTATTGATACTAAAATTTGAGTTACATGTAATTATTATTTTTAGTTTTTCTCATACTAGAAGAATACAAACTGCACTTTAATATTTTTTAGAAACAATGCTGTTATTTTAGAACAGTTTTAAAGGTTTAGAAAATCGAGCAGGTAGTATAGAGTTCACGTGCACAATTTTCCATATTTTTAGTATTTTAGTATATATAGTATGTTTGCTAACACATCTTAACAGTCTGTGTGTAGGACATACTGTATGTATACAGTGTGTTTGTAGGACAATATTGACTAATACCTAATCTAATATCCATAGTTTATGCAATTTCTTTAGTCTGTATTTAGTATCTTTTCTCTGTTACAAACCACCATCTAGAACACTGCTGTGTTTAAAGAACTGTATTTGTATCTCTATTTTTCTCTGTTAATAGGTGTACAACATGTTTCAGCACCAGAGCCTCGGGATTAAAATTAACATTCAAGTCACCAAGCTGGTCCTGCTGCGACAACGCCCGGTAAGTCTTCATGGATGCCTTTTGGAGCAAGCTGAGAACTTAATGGGTTTGGAAGTTCCCCCACACTGGGACTGTGGGGGCAGGGGGGCTCCAGGCAAACTGGCTTGTTCACCTTCCTGGCTTTGAAGATGCCACCATTGTGAGAGAAGAGAGTCTTGGGAGTATGCAGGCTGCTTAGAATCTCAAGGGAATGCTGAGCCATGGGCGCTCACACTTCCCATTCCTGGTAGGTCCGGCATATGGCTCTCACACGTGGAAACCTGGGGGAGGTCTCAGAAGCGTGGCTTTCCTCCTGGAGCTCCTGACCCATGGGGACTCAGCACAGCCTTGACTTTGCTGTTTCTGCTGAGTGACTCCCTTCACGCCAGTGCTGTCTATAACAAGGCGAAGCAGTCGGCAGACATGGAGGGAGTGCATCATTTTTTTGGAGACTGTTATGTTTCTAAGAAGTAGATTGCTTGCTTTAATGACAGTCATTATTTAAACTCATGGATAAAGTCCCTGGTGGTCTTGGAACCTCCTGAGCATCCTTGGGTTCTAAGCTTTTATCTCAGGGCAGAGAATCATCTAATTCGGTCTTCAAGAGCATCTACTGGATGACAGTGTCTGACTGCCTCCTTCTATTTCTTTTAGGCCAAGTTATCCATAGGGCACCATGGTGAGCGGTCCCTGGAAAGCTTCTGTCACTGGCAGAATGAGGAGTATGGGGGCGCCCGGTACCTTGGCAATAACCAGGTACCAGGAGGGAAGGATGATGCACCTCCTGTGGATGCCGCTGTGTTTGTGACCAGGTAAGCCTGGAGCCAGCCTGTATCTGATAAGCAAGAGGAAAAAGCAGTATCCTTTTGAGAGCACGTTAGCAATCCAGAGTTGGAAGTCAAGCCTATGTCTACTTGCTTGGGCTTTGGGTTCTCGGTAGTCAAATGGGGGGTTGTTGTAGGTTCAGCCTCTGAGGGCTGAGCAGATAATGAGCTATTATTGTCCATAAGCAGCGCCTAACCCATGGTGTTAGCCTTCATTAGCTCTGTTGTCAGTATTAGAAGAATACTGAAATTCCAGGTAACTGGAGGCTTAGATCTGTCTATAAATCCATGTACTTCTCCCTTACTCCTCCTCCTTCCCCCCAATAGCACACTAGCCAGAGAGGTGCTGACAGGGTTTGCAGCTGCCGCTGACTGACTTGGGCAACCTGTTAGGGAGAAGGATGTATGTTCTGAGTTGCCTGTGGGACGAGCTCTAGGTGGGTCCCTGGGTGACCTGCACAGCCTTGCAGGACAGGGGGAACTCCCCAGAAAACTCAGTCTTTTGGATGCCCATGGCTGTCACATGAGGACGCTGTTTGAAGCATGGGTAAAGATCCTCTCCTGGCTACGGGACCAAGGGACCAGAAGTACGTAGCAGAAACCCAGGGTGGCCTCTGAAGTCACAAGCAAGCACATTGCCGAAATTTCCTAGTGACACCATAGCCACTGGCCAAAAGCAGGTCACCCTCACATTCTGGAGCCTCCGTGTTCTAAACCGGGGTATTGCTAAGGCTCCACTCTCCCCAATTCCTCAAGGGGGAGCCATTCCTCATTTTCTCACTTTTGGTGGCTTTTGCCACCCTTGACAGGCCTTGACTGTGGACACCTCACTTGAATTTGCCTTCCACCATCACATGGACCTTCTCTGCATGTTTCTTTCTATGCCCAGATGATTGTCCTCATGAGAGGACATCAGTCTTTGGAATAGGACCTATCTTAACCCATTATGACCATTTCTGTACTCTGTAGACCGGGTTGGCATTGAACTCATAGACCAACCCACCTCTACCTCCCATGTGCTAGGATTGAAGGTGTGGGCCACCATCGCCCAGCTTGTGACCACTTCTTAACTGGATTATGCCCTCAATGACCCTCTTTCAAAATAAAGTCATATTAATGGGCACTTAACCATATCTGTTCTGGGGACACAGTTCTAGCACATACATGCAGACATATATAAACACATGTGCATGTGTGTGTTTACACACACACACACAGAGAGAGAGAGAGAGAGAGAGAGAGAGAGAGAGAGAGAGAGAGAGAGAGAACACATACCTTGTCATTACCAGGCTGCAGACAGATGCTTGATTCCTTCACTAGAAAGTTCCTTAACTGCCAGCCCCCTGGGTTGAGAGGTGCTCTGTAAGCAGGTGGCTCCTGTGAGAACATTTGCTACTTATGTGAGATTCGATTAAATGTCTATTGGGATGCTTTGGGCACAGTCTCCTATAATTCCGTGGCTATGGTAGGACCGTGAGTTAGCATTCCTGCTGCAGGACTGAGCTTGCCAGCCAATGAGTGCTGGCACCTCCTGGTGCTCCTTCTTTAGAAGAGCTGGGCACCCATCTTCCTTAGCCAGAGACTGTCATCTCTCAATTGGGAATGGCATTTGGCGACGATGGGACTTTCTGTGGAACACCTAAAGGACTGGGGTCATAGGGGAAGGGCAGATGTTTTGAAAGTGAAGTCTACTTGGTAAGTGAGCAGTAGTTTAGTGGAGCCATTTTTATGCATATCCACAAATTATATGATTATTTTCCTACATGAAATTAATTAGGTCTAATTAAATTAGGTCTAAAAATCCTTCCTGGAGAGGAGCTTGTTTTAAACAACCCCAGGATTGGAATTTGCAGCTAAATGTCCAGTGTCCCTACTTTGAAAGTGGTTTTTATAAACATTATAAAACTTAGGAATGCTAGTGTTTATTAAAAATATTATTAACTTAGGGGATTCCCTCCTGACGCCATATTTAAAAATACTTTTTGCCTTCCTGCTATGTTCTTTCATGAGAAGCTAGTGAACACACTTTAACTTACCAATCTTCCTCATAATGTTTTTGAGGTGAGAATGTACTCATCAGTTTCAAGTATACAATGTATCAGTTGTTGCCAAGGTATAGGGAGACCTCCAGAAGGGAGAAAGTGCTTGGAAGTGGTCTTGTTTGGGGAATGAAAAGCACTTTTTTCCTCAGAGAAAAATAAATATCATAAAAATCAGGGTTAGCAAAACTTCTAGGTTAGCTCTTTTATAAAAAACACAAATATCCAAGTGTCTTAGGGTTTCTATTTTTGCAACAAAACACCATGACCACAAAGCAAGTTGGGGAGGAAAGGGTGTATTTGGCTTGCATTTCAGCATTGCTGTTCATCTCTGAAGGAAGTCAAGACAGGAACTCAAACACAGGCAGGAACCTGGAGGCAGGAGCTGATGCAGAGGCCGTGGAGGGGTGCTGCTTACTGGCTTGCTCCCCATGGTTGGCTCAGCCTGCTTTCTTTTAGAACCCAGGACCAGCAGCCCAGGGATGGCACCACCCACCATGAGCTTCCTAACCCCCACCCCCATTGATCACTAAATGAGAAAATGCCTTACAGCTGGATCTCAAGGAGGCAGTTCCTCAACTGAGGCTCCTTCCTCTGATGACTCTAGCTTGTGTCAAGCTGACACACAAAACCACCCAGTACACTAAGTATATGTCTGTTATCCCAGCACTTGGGTGCCCGAGACAGTAGGATCAGGTGGTTAAGGTCACCTCTGCCTACACAGTGAGTTGGAGGGCGGCTTAGGCAGTATGAGATCCTGTCTTAAACGAAGAAATCAGCCAGGGCGCTGGGAAGATGGCTTACCCAGTAAAGTGCTTGTCACATGAGCGTGATGGTCTGACTTCGATTCTCCGGAACTTACCTCAAAGAGCTGGGCTCAGTGCTGGGCATTTGTAATCCCAGCGCCGAGAGGCAGAGATGGGTCTTGCTGGCTTGCTTCTATAGTCCAGTTGATGAGGTTTGGTTTCGGTGACAGACTCTGTCTCAAAAGACTGAGGTGGAGAGAAATTAAGGAAGATCCCCAACATCATCTTCTGACCTACCCCCAACCATGCATGCACGTGTGTGTGCACACACATACACATACACGTGTGCATGTGCATGCTCACACTCATCTAGGGCACATTTTCTTTTGCTTTTTCACGATGCTACCTCAGGGTTGTTTAAGCCCTTGTTCCTGCTTCTGTGGAGCTATTCAGTGGATGAATCACTGGTCAGCCATATCGCCAGAGGAGGTCTTTGCCAATGTTGACTTGACGGCAGCACTGGGGTGGAGGAGTAGCCGGCTGAGAAGCCTGGTGCATAACTTGAGGCTGGGGCTGCAGTTTCCAAGCTTGAGATAATAGTAGGCTGGTGCTCTTCAAGGAAATGAGATGCAAGGCAGTGGCTGCTCTAGAGAGGTATCCTTTTCTGTCTAATAGGAAATCTCACAGGCCAGGCATTGTTCAGGGGACAGCATCCCTTGTATCTGGCCAGTGTGAGGATTTTCTTTTCTTGCTCTGTTTTGGCCTATGGCTGAGCCTTGGGAGCTGTTCTCCTGGACATGTGAACATGATGTCATGGCTAGCAGAGGCAGTCAGCTTTCTGCAGCTGTGTGTGTCTAGGATGTAGACAGCCCCCATGTGCACTGTGGCTGGAGGCCAACCAAGGCCACACAGAAGACCGGGTCTCCAGCCCTAGTGGCTTTACCTTTGGTTCTGCACTTGACCTAGGAAAACAGGCACACAGTGTTTGTCCCCCAGCCCAGCTTGGTGCTTCTGTAGAGAACATCAGGGAGACACCCAAGCAAGCATGCAGGCCTGGCAGAGGGTCATGCTTGGATACCTCTGCAGATCCCAGTCTTCAACACCCCACAGTCTGTATTCTCCCTGCTCATTCTGCTTCCTGTTCAGTTGCCTCTTAATCAGAGAGCCTAAGCAAATGGAGGGCAGGAGGCTCGCTCTGACAAGTTAGGGTGCTAGCCCTCCTTCATTTCCACAAAAGTGGTTGAGTTTGTGGGTAAGATCAGGATAATAAAGGGTTTAATTTTTTTTCCATGAGAGTGAGCAGTCTTAAAGGCTTTTACTTTTCTCTTTGAGTTCTAGATATTTATTGTCAAATTCACAGTGGCATATGCTTGAAGATCACTGTGAAAGTGGATTTTAAATATTCTCACCAACCAACAAACCAACCAACCCCACCTCACAAAGCCCCCCCAAAAAACAAAACTAGTACCTAAGGCGATGGACATTCCTATGAGCTAGATGTGATCATTTCACAACCTATACTTGCCACCTCATATTTGCATTGTATAAATATGTACCATTTTACCTGTCAAATTGATGAGTGATCATATTAAAATAAATTGGCCAAAAATTGATAACTCAAAATATTAACATTTGTTATGAAAAACTTAGACATTTCCAGAGGCAAAACTCATTGAGTGGTGGATACAACTCACTTTGAATTTTCTCCCCTACGCTGTCTCTAGCCACACCTTCTAAGCTTTGACTCCCATCCATGCCACCTGCCCTGTAGTTTCCCCTGCAGGATGCCTGCCCAGTGTGCTTGGTGAGATGTCTCTGACCCAAGATGCTCAGTTGTCAGCCTACCTTTGGGAATCTGTGTCTCGAGATGTTCAGGAGATCCTTTGAGCCTCCAGAACCACAGCCTGTGGGTACCAGTGGGCTGGTTGTCAGGATCCGTGCCTAGCAACGGTAGGCTGAGGGATGCACACACACATCTTTTGCCCCTTTGACACATACCACATTGGGGATTAGAGTGGACTGATGTACACAGAGATGGCGATGGATAGAGTGGAAGGGGAGGTGACGAACTCTGGCATTGTTCCCAGAGTAATTGGTGCACTACATTTTGCTGTGAGTAGATGTGACTGGGGTGAAAGGAAAAATGGAGGACAGTGAATGCTAGCATGGAAATGTGACAGTGTTAGCCAGGGAAGGGCAGCTGGGACCAGGACTGCCATACTTGTGCTTCGGATCAGGCCAGTTTTCGGATTTACTTATCTATATATTTCAAGATAAACGAATCATTTCTGCTTTGGGGACTGTCCTAGCCAGGATGCTGGCCTCACTGGTATTCTGTGGTTGGCTACTCACTGTGGGAATTTGTGGGGGGAAGCTTGGGAGTGTTTGTTGATGGAAAAGCAGGGCCTATCCCTTCATTTCGTTAACAGAGGTGAGCGTGAGCCCATGGGACGTGCAGGACCAGGGCTGACGCAGGCTTTGTACCTTCACCTTCTCACTCATCGTTAACTGTGCACCTGGGAGTTTTAAAAATGAGTTTTAGAAATGTCTTTTTGTTGCCTTTCCATGGATAACTCATGGCCCTTATAGCTTTCCAGATTGAGTAGCTTTGAGATACCTCTACAGTTGATGGGTAATTAATTGTCTCTGATCAAAAACACCTTTAATTTTTTTTTCAACTCATGAAAGAGTAACTTCTTTCCATCAGCTAAGTATGGAGAAGTTCAGCTGTAAAAGGGGTGTCCTGGGCTGGTGAGGTGGCCCAATGGGTAAAGGTACTTACCACCAGGCCTGATGACCTGCGTTCCATCCCCACAACCCACCTGGAGGAAGAAGAGAACTGTCTCCCTTGTACTTTGTCTTAGTTAGGGTTTTATTGCTGTGAAGAGACACCATGACTACGGTGACTCTTATAAAGGAAAACATTTCATCGGCTGCCTTACAGTTCAGAGGTTTAGTTCGTTTTTTGTCATCGTCTGAGCAGGGTGGCATGCAGGCAGACATGGTGCTAGAGAGGTTGCTGAGAGTTCTCCATCTCGGTCAGCAGGCGGCAGGAAGAGAGAGTGACCTGAGCCTGGCTTGAGCTTCAGAAACCTCAAAGCCTGCCCCCAGTGACACACTTCCTCCAACAAGGCTACACCTCCTAATAGTGCCACTCCCTGTGAGCCTACGGAGGAGGGGTGGGATTTTCATTCAAACCATCACAAACCTTTACATGTGTACTATGGCACTTGCATGCACACCTCACAAATTAATGCCAAAAGAAAAAAAAAATCTAACATGGGGGTCTTCTCCGTGGTTACCGGGCTTACCATTTAGAACTGTCATGGTGGTTTACTGTTGACAGACATTGTTAATGGTCCAAATTAAAGCGACAACATTTCAGGATCACTAACCAATATTCGTGTGGTATTTTCCTCTCCTGTTCCTGCAGGGTACCACATACATCTGACTGTGTCTTTTTCTCCCCAGGACAGATTTCTGCGTTCACAAAGATGAACCGTGTGACACCGTTGGTAAGTTTACAGTTCTCCCAGGGATTCACGATGATGGGGGGTGGGGGGTGGGGAGGAGGGACTTCTAGTCTAAAAGTGTCACCCCGTGTCCCCGCACAAGCTTCAGATCTCCTGTTGCCTCTCCTCATGTAAACTGATTCCTTGACTGTATTCTATTGTTTTTATCAGGTAAGTTTTGAGGTTGCCTATGACAGAAAGCATCTAGATGAGGGTTTGAGAATGTTATAACAAGTCATTCCCAGGGCAAGAGCTGCCGGGCTGCTCAAAGGTGTCTGCGGCTGAGAGTGTGATTTTCTCTCAGTGTCTGGCCCACCCCGGCGGGAGCTTTGCTTTCTAGTCTACACAGTACGGAGATGTGCATGCCGTACGAGAGACACATGGGTTTTCTTCCCGTCTCATCCCCACCTGCCTCTCACGTGCAGGTTTCCTTCCTCTCCTATTTTCAGTGAACCATGAATTGCCCTTCGGTTCTTAAGGTTTCACACAGAAAACTTCCTTCTGCCAGGTGGTGGTAGCGCACGCCTTTAATGCCAGCACTCAGGAGGCAGAGGCAGGTGGATCTCTGAGTTCGGGGCCAGCCTGGTCTACAGAGTGAGATCCAGGACAGCCAGTGCTACACAGAGAAACCCTGTCTCAAAAAACAAAAAAGCAAAACCAAACCTTTCTTCAGGGGTAGACAGAGTACTTATCTAACAGAGGAAATACCCGGAGTGTCTACAGTGTCATCTGCCATCACACACAGGGAGGTCCCAAATATTGTTACCCAAAGAAAAATGATGACTCTCGTATGCTCAGAGGCTTGAAGTTACAGAACCACTGATGGAAGTGAAATAGGATTGACATGTCTAATATTGTAAAATCCAGATGTTAGCAACCAGTTACCATAGAGTCTTGGTTATAGTAGCCTTGGCCTCTGCCATAGCTCTACATGACTGGACTGGGTGACTCAAGTTTCTTAACACATATGACTGCCTGGATTAGGTGATTTAATAAGGCTCTTTAATATCTGGTATGATGATAGTCAACCTTTATTTTACACATTGCAGTTTATAATTTTTTATTTTATTTTATTTTATTTTTATCAGTCTTCAAAACAGATCAGATAATAAGGTATCAAAAATCAGCCAATGGATGTCTGCACTTTGCCCCTTAGGACTGGTTCCATGATGGACTCTCTGGGCAAAGACAGTGTTAGTCTTGTTTTCCTTGTGGGGGAGCTGAGCCAGGCCCAAGCCTGGCTGGGGCTGGAGAAGATGGGAAGCCACGGGGAAGTGTGTGGCTAGAGCGGCTGTTCCTTCCAGCATTCATGGGTGGCCTTTGAGGACACCGTAGTTCTCTCTGGAGTATGCCTCTGCCTTGCCATGTGCTCTCTCCTTTGCCTGTGCTCAGGAGACATTAGTTCCTCACCTAGCCCTTGCCATATACTTCCTGATCCGAGAGAAGCCTCTGTGCTATGCAGTACTGAGCCTGGATCTCCAAGCCTGTATCCTTCAGCACCTGGCTGAGCACTTGAGAGGTTCCTATGGACCATGCCGAGTGGTTGATTTATCTCAGGAAAAAGAATGAACACAGGTGAAAGAAGCTTCGTGTCTGCACAGTATGTACACTGAAGAATGTGCTTCTCTTTCACATGATTGATAGCTACCTTTTGTTTAATTGTGACTGTATGAAATACCCTTATGATATGAATTGATTGTACAGTGCTCCCCTTGCGGACGACCAAGTAGCTAATTCTAATCAAGTATCTCTCTCCTGTCTGCTCAATACTTCCGTACCACTTCAAATACTTTGCTCGTGATGTTTTTCCATCACAGAATGCTGCAAGGCCTGTACATCTCAGGCCTCAAGAACATCTCGTGCTTCACAGCCCGGGAGGCCGCTGATCCAGGTCCCATTGTCTGCGGGTGTCTGGTTTCTGCTGTGGGCGCTCCAGGACCTGCAGATGGTTGTCTGTCTTCTGTGTGCACCTCTTCTTTTTCCTCTTGTTGTAAGAACATCAGTTGCACTAGATTAGGACCTACCTTTATAACTTCATTTAACCATATTTAATTATATTTCTCAAGGCCCTGTTTCAAAATACAGTCATATTGAGGGTCAGTACTTCACCCTGTGATTCTGAGGATCATAATTTAGTCTATAGGGCTATTTGTTTGACACTTAGCCACATATCACCAGGTGGCACCTAATATCCTTATACGACCTCTCTGGCACTTTTGTCTCACTTCCTAAGGAGGCATGTCTTTCCATGGCAGGGACAGAGTGCAATCATTCTTAATGTCACAGCTGGTTACCCGAGGGATGGGCTGTTCTGCCTCCTGCCTCCCAGCATGCACTCCTTTTAAGGCTCTCATGAATTTTAACTTTTACAAGGGTATTAGACATAGGGACTTGGCCTTTTGTTATTAGTAAATGCTTATTTTAATGTGCCATAATTCACTTGAACATGTTATCAAATAATATTTAAAACGAAGTAATTTGATAAACTGGGAGCCTTAAAACTGGGAGTATGGCAGTCACAGACCAGCCTCAGACTCTTATTAATTTCTCTCTCTCTGTGTATGTGTGGTGTGTGACACAATCACAAGTGTCCAGATAAGTAGAAAGGCCATTAACTGGTTGATCGATATGTCACTCCACCACAGAGGATTATCTCTGTATAGTCTTAAGGAATTGCATCCTAGGGGGATAATTCCTTTGAATGACCCAGTTTAGATGCCATTCATTTCATCTTGGTCCCGTGGATGTACCAGAGTTTTGGACTCTTCCTCAAATCCGTCACAATAGATTTGAATCTATTCTGAGCAGAAAAGCTTGACATTTAATTATGTTTTTATTGTCACAGGGCAGATCCTCCAGTCTCTGGCAAATTCCTGTTTGCCAGTTTTATTGGTACTTGTAATTAGGCTTTGACAATCTTCTATGAGTATGTGGGGGGGGGGATTGTGAAAACTTTCAGTTTGGGGGAGGAAATGTGAGTGTCTCTAGCTATGGGTTGTAGGTATTAGGAAGCTCTGCCTTCCTTACACTTATTAAAAATCACAGCATCCAGTTGCAAGAGTTAGTAAGGAATGTAGCATTCTATCAGTATCAGGGCATGTGACTCACAATCCCAGCTTGGATTTCTTAGTGGAAGGCCACACATCCAAGAGTTGGGCCACACCAAGTGTCTTGACATGATTAAAAAAGTAGGCCACTGACTGGGTAGGTAGGGAAGGGGGGCTATCTGGGAGGAGTTAGGAAAGGGGTGAAAATGACCAAAGTACAGACTACAGAATTCTCAAAGAATTAATTTTTAAAATGAGGGGGAATAAAGAGTTTCTGAGAAAGCCAAAAGGCGTATACTTTACTACAACAATTCATCCCTTAATACAGTTAGTTTTAAATGTTGGTAGAGCATATTTAGAATGCTGATTGGCTTATTCCTGGATGCTGGGAGAGTCTTCTAAAAGCTCATTTGTAAGGGATGACGTGATTCAGAACAAAGGAGAATGTGGGTGACCCTGGGGTCCTTCCTACCCTTGTCTCCTAGTATGGCTGTTCTCAGCCTGGCCTAGGATAACGATGGCTGGATAAAAGTGGTATAAGTGTGCAGGTTGGGAGGGTGCAGTGTGTGCTTCTAGTGTCTGAGAGTGTGGTTCAGCATTGTCTGTGCTCGTGAGTTCTCTCAGTCCTCAGCTTGTCTCATAAGAGGCTCCTGAGGAGATCTGTCTGCCATGGAAGTTACACTCCAGTAGAAGCTCTCTGTGTTTGGGATGTGGCTGGGCATCCCTAACTGAGACCACTTGCTCCAGGGGACCAAGTTCAACTTGTCTCACTCTTCCTGCCAGAGTCTCAGTTAAGGTTACATAATCACTGGACTGTGTTAGAAAATGGTGAAAACACAGAGATACATAGTTTTTACATGGGGTAGAATTCTATCAGCCCGTTGGAGATGTGGAACCAACATTTAGTTAGAACTAGATAGAGACCAACAAAGCATAGGTTGTGCCTAACTGTCTTTGGAATTAGTAACAGGGCTAGAGAAGCAGAGAAGCTCAGCACACGGGATGCCCAACTGAGGACCTCAAACACAAACACAGGGTGGACGTTACTCAACAGAGCAGCAACACTATTGCCTTTAATATGTATGTATGTATGTATGTATGTATGTATGTATGTATGTATGTATATGTGTGTGTATATCCATATTTTACTTTTTGAGATTATAATATACTTACATCATTTCCTTCTTCACTTTCCTCCAAACCCTCTCATATACCCCTGCTTGCTCTTCTTTCAAATTCATGGCCTCTCTCCTCATTAATTGTTGTTACATACACATGTGAGTAAGTGTATTCCTAAAGACATAAATACAAGCTGTCCATTCCGTATAATGTTACTTACATGTGTCCTTTCACAGATGACCATTTGGTGTTGGATAACCAACTGGTGTGCTCTTCCCTGGGGAGGACCGTTTCTCCAGCTCCCAGCATTCCTTAGTGGCCTGTGGTCCTTTGTGTAAGGCTGGGGCCTCTTGGGCTTCCCCCATCCACTTCAGCGTGTCTGTTGTTGTCCGTGTTCAGCTCATGGTTGGGTAGTCATGTTGGTGACTGATTGGGTGTAGCTTCTGACACTCGCTGGAGACACAACCTACATCAGACTCCCTGATAGACTTTCCTCCTCAACTTTCATAATGATCCTTGGGCCTTAGCCGCAGGGGTTGTAAACAGCACACTGTGGCCTTCCAGAAGTGCTGTTCCTCACGGGCCAAGAGTGAGAACCTCTAGGCCACTATATTCAGACCAGCTTGTTGAGAGGACTCCAAAACAGGTCATGTTTTCAGGTCAGGCATGAGATGCTGGGGACATTGGTGTCAGGCCAAAGCCCACCATCTTTTCATTCTCCGCATGGCCTTGGTGTGACCATTTTCAGAGGGGCTTCTCTGTCCCCTCTGTGTTTCCATCTCTCTTGGCCGAGGGAACCCTTTCCGATTAGGTTGGAAGGAAGTACCATCCTTCATCGCCTTGGAGGGTTGTCCTTCCTTGAGTCATGACCCTTGTTGGGTCTGTTAGAATCAAGCAGGCAAGTCCTTCTCTAGTGGGCTGGGGATGCAGAGTCATCAGTGGGAAGTGATGCTGTGTGATAATTCTGTGTTGTGAGACAGCTCTTGTAGCTTGTGGGAAGCCACATAAACAGAGCATGCAGTTGGGTATTGTGTGTGTAAGGCAGGCGTGGAGCCCAAGAATGACCCCTAGGGACTCCTCAAGAGCAAAGCCTTCTGTGCTGGTTGGAGGAAGCCCAGGAAATTGGAGGCTGAGAGCCAGAGGGGACTCCTGTAGGAGTCCCCTAATGGTCCTTTTTGCCATCTGCAGGGCCCCACGGTCTCCATAGAGAAGGCAACTCCTACTGAAGGGCCCCTTACTGGAAGAAGAGACAAGCAAGGCTCAGTACTGTGGTCTGGACATGGGTTCTTCTCTTAGGCCTGGGGACCACATCTTGCTCTTGCATAGTCCTTTGTGATTTACCTCCCATATCCAGACGTAGCCTCATCTATACAAGGGAAATGATAATCCTCAGGGTTCTAATGTATCTTTTCTTATGTGTATGTGTGTGCAGTGGTGGGAGCTTATGCGCTTCACATGAACTCAGGATCCTGCAGAACAGAAGAAGGCATTGGATCCCCTGGAACTGGAGTTATAGACAGTTGTGAGTCACCATGTGGGTGCTGGGAATTGGATGTGGATCCTCTGGAAGAACAGCCAATGCTCTTAACCATTAAGCTCTCTCTCCAGCCCCCTCAGGGTTCTTATGAGGATAAAGGGGGTGACTGAACACATCCACTCATTTGGTAGTTTTCAAGAATCAGAAAATATGGCTGGAGGGATGGCTCGGAGATTAAGAATATATGCAGAGGACCACGTTTGGTTCTCATGGCCTGTGTCAGATGGCTCACATCCACCTGGAAGTCCAGTTCAGCAGATCTGACACCTACCTCTGTCCTCTTCAGGCTCATGCATACATGTGGAACACACATATAATTTAAAAATACAAATCTGAAAACGAATCCCACCCCACGCCAGGAAATAATAAATACTCTCGAGGTGGTGGAGAGTGGAGACTCCTGTGTACTACTGGCGGCCAGGGCAAACTTTTCATTTCACAGCAAATACAGAACAGTGTTTTCTCCCCCAAATTCAAGTGTAATGCAACTGTTCTAATTCTGGATATAGAACCAGAAGAAGCAAGAGCAGGTACTCAAACAGATGTTTGCACACTCGTGTTCACAGCAGCATCGTTCCTGAGAGCCCGAAGGTGGAAGCACTCTTAAGCTTTCACCCATGGATAAATGCAGTGTGGTGTGAGCATATGGTGGGAGAGTAAGTCAGCCTTAAAACAGAAGAAAATTATGACACAGACTACATCACGGATGCACCTTTGGGACATGACGCTGAGCAAAACAAGCTAACTAGAAAAGCATATGTGCTGTGGGAGTCCACATGCCTAAGGCACCCAGAGGAGAACATTCATGGATACAGAAAATGGCCATGTTCAGGGGCTGAGGGGATGGTGAGTTATCACTCAATGGCCTAAAGTTCCAGTTTCACAAGAAGAAACCTGGAGTGTTTGTGATGGTGAGTTTTAATTGACAACTTGACACAATGTAGAATCACTAGGAGATAGCCTCAGTGATGTCAGTGATGTTTTTTTTTTTTGTTTGTTTTGTTTTCCCAGAGCTGAGGACTGAACCCAGGGCCTTGCACTTGCTAGGCAAGTGCTCTACCACTGAGCTAAATCCCCAACCCCTTAGTGATGGTTTTTATTGGGTTGGCCTATAGGTATTTCCCCCAAGGGATTTATTTGGGTTAATTGATGTAGGAAGACCCAGCCCACTGTGGGCAGCATCATCCCCTGGATTTGGGTCCAGAAACATCTAAGAACTGAGAAAGTGAGCTAAACACTAGAGGCATGCACACATTCATCTCTCTCTCTGCTCTTGACTGTTGACGTGATGAGCTGCTTCAAGTTCTTGGCTTGGCTTCCTCACAATGTGGAACTATAAGCCAAATAAACCCTTTCTTTAATTGCTTATGGTGAGGATGGTTTATCACAGCAACAAAAATAAAATCAGAATGGCAGGAATTACTGAACAATTAATGAATGACATTATTGCCACTGAACTGTACACTGAGAAATGGTTAATCTATTAAACTTTGTGTTGTGTTTAGTTGGCCATGATGGAGTTTATGTTTGTTTGTTTTGATTGTTTTTAGGTGAGATGGCAAGGAGAGAAATCGTAAACTTGATTCTGTAGATTTTTCTTTTTAAGGCAACTTCACTTGGAGAGCAATTCCCAGGTAGAGGGGAGTTCTTCCTCTGTGGAAGGAGGAATGGGGCTCTGGCTGGGATGCAGACAGTACAAGAAGAAGGAAGGCTGGTACCTTCACAGGCTGGAAGGGGGAGTTTGCCCGCTGCAGGGCAGAGAGGGTGAGTCAGGGCAAAGAGAGGAAGGGCACAGTCGGGAGTAATGCCAGGGCTGAAGGAGAATCTCTCTAATATTTTGAAGTTTTCTTTTTGGTTGTCAAGCTGTGCTGTGGCGTCAGAATAGGGCCCAGTTAGGCCATGTGGCTCACTGATATTTTTGGACTGTGGGCAGTCCACATTGCACCTGGCAGTAAAAGTGCCACTTTAGTCCGGCCACGCATTCATTTTCCCAGCCACTGGACTCCTGGCCTAGAGAGATGAGGTCAGCCACCGAGGCTATTGTGGTGCTGGGGACTGACCACAGGCTCAGCATCGGGTGGCCTTCAAGGCTCAGAGCTGCAACTTAGGGGGGAATGTTTGTAGCTTTCATCATATATAGACAGTTTATCAGGCTCCCTTGGGCACTGTGAGTTTAAAGACTGAAGAACCCTCAACCCTCTCCTGTGAAATTGGAAGTTGGCTCTGAATTTTTAACCTCAACTTCTTCATATATACAACATAAGAAATCAGAGTGCTTTGGGAGGGCCAGAGATGGTTCAGCTAAGGCAAGGATTCTCCACCTTCCTACTGCTGCGACCCTTTAATTCAGTTAGTTCCTCATGGTGTGGTGACCCCCCAACCATAAAATTATTTCATTGCTATTTCATAACTGTAATTTTGCTATTGTTATGAATCACAATATAAATATCTGGTATGTGATCCCTGTGACAGGGTCATTTGACCTGGGGTCGAGACCTGTCAGGCTAAGACCTCCTGATTTGCTCTTGAACAGAGACTAATTCTTGGCCTAGTCTTTAGGACTTCAGTTCACGTGTCTTTGGTGGGATTGGTATGGATGGTTGTGATCAAAACCTTATCACAAGCAGGAATAGATTATGTCATGGTTAAGAAGGAGCTGATCTGTGGTTAGGGAAGGGCTGAGCCATGGTTGGTTAAGGCTGGAATGAATCATAATTAGGACCTGGCACATGGTCCAGGGTATTATGGTAAATATTGTTAGCTGATAGTCACAGGATCTTCTCCCTTGGGAGGTTACATTTCTCAGTCTTCCTGGCAAAAACCAGCAATAGCCTTCTGCCCAATGGAATGAGATTGGAAGTGCCATATGATATTCTGAGATTTTTTTTTTTTTTTTTGCCCTTACAAACCTCCTATGAGCAGTGCTTGGAGATCTTTCTTCATTGATCATCCTAAGGTCATCCAAGGAATTGGCAGTCACAGTCCCGAAACACTGGGTGTCATAGGAGTGAGAAGAGTGTGGGTACACTGAGATGGGGGTTCTGTTTGGCAGCACATAGCTTCCGTGTTCAGAAATGAGGAAGTTCGAATCCCTTGAAGATTCTTTGATTTTCAGGCTTTGAGATCTAAAACCCTGAAGACTATGGTAGGTGACTCCCCCTCCCGAGAGGTGTAGAATTAGGGACAGAGTTGGAATTGTGAGTGATTTTAGACCATGAAGAAAAAGTACCCTTGCCCTTCAAAGGAGGTAAAGGCAGCTCCCGCTCCTCCATTCATTTTAAGAATCCCAAGGTAACCATGAGAAATTTCATGTGTCCTTGACACATTGGAGGGCTCAGGACTTGGGCTTATGAGCAGTTCAACGAAAGGACAATGACACATTTAAAGTAACAAAACCAAGGGAAAGGCTTTGCATTTCTAGACTAACAAACTGTGGAGTGATAGATGTGGAGAAACTAATTCTGCTTTGCCATCCTAGAGTTGTCCCTAGTGACAAACTGTGGTCCCTCCTCAATGCTTGGCAGGTCAAGAAGCCTGGTGGTTCATGAGATGTCGAAGCATGGAACTGATGCTGGTTCCATAGCTCCAGACTCATCCTCTAGGGCTCTTCTCCTTAGTATTGCTCAGTGCTCATGTCCCCTCTTCTTGACCATAACACACCCAGTATCTCCTGTTGGTCAGCGTCACAGCATGTACAGACTGTCTTTCTGAGACAACATGCCTGAGAAAGTAAATTACAAGGAGGAGAAACAGTCGGTTGTGGTGGTACACACCCATAATCCTAGCACTTGGGAGGCTAAAGCAGAAGGTTCCCAAATTCAAGGTCAGTCTGGGTTCTAGACCAGCCTGAGCTACATACACAGCAAGATTTTGTCTCAAACAATTTTAAAAAAAAGTTAAGAGAGATGGAAAGTTGCATAACTCTTGTCTAACAAAGGCTTGAGTCTGTAGTTGGCTGGAGTCATTGATTTTGGGGCCTGTGGTGAGGTAGAACATCATGGTAGTGCACACGTGCTGGAGTAAAGCTATTTATTATACGGTGAGGGGGAGAGAGAGAGAGAGAGAGAGAGAGAGAGAGAGAGAGAGAGAGAGAGAGAAGAGAGAAGAGAGAAGAGAGAAGAGAGAAGAGAGAAGAGAGAAGAGAGAAGAGAGAAGAGAGAAGAGAGAAGAGAGGGCTGCGTTCCCAATATCCCCTTCAGGGTTATAATCCCTAACTTCCATCCTCTAAAGGCTCTACCACCTCCCAATAGCACCACAGGCTCATGACCAAGCAGCTGAAACATAGCATTTGGGAGACATTTAAGATCCAAACCATCAACACGGTTCACCACATTACTTCCCAGGGAATGAATGGTGTTAAGAGCTAAGTTGACTTTAATTTGTCCTTGGGAAGCTGAAGAGCTTTGCTCCAGCAGAGCCATCTCCTTGGCTGTCTTAGTCATTGTTCTGTTGCTGTGAAGAGACACCATGACCAAGGCAACTCTTATAAAAAGGGAACATTTAATTGGAGGCTTGCTTACAGTTTCAGAGGTTTAGTCAGTTTTCATCATGGCGGCCGTCATGGTGCTGGAGCAGTAGCTGAGAGCTACATTGTGATCCTCAAGCCAAGAGAGAGAACCAGGCCTCATACCAGCTTTTGGAACCCTAAAGCCCACCCCTAGTGACACACTTCCTCCAATAAGGCCACACTGACTCTAACAAGCCACACCTCCTAATCCCTCTCAAATAGTGTCACTCCCTGATGACTAAGCATTCAAATATATAAGCCTATGGGGGCCATTCTCATTCAAACCACCACACTAGCCCCTAATGATCTTCTAAACTGTGGCTTTACTTTGTTAGCACAGGAGGAAACCAAGACACCAAAAGGATACACTTTCTCATGTAAAATTACCTCGCTCACAAGAGGCAAAGCTGAGATCAGCTAACTCACTGTGGTACCTGGGGTTTCATTCTTAGCTCATCCTGTTAGCCCCGTGTCCATTCTTTCCTCAGTTTGTTAAATTGCCCATTACCACATTACTCTTTTCCCCTGTTTTTGCTGCCTCTCTATGTCTTTATACCATGAGCTATTTCTCAGATGGATCCTTGTCCTTGCAGACATCCTGCTCCTTCACATTCAGTGTTGAGTGCCTGCCAGGTGCTACTCTAGCCCTGGGAATCTCAATGCGCAAAACAGGCAAAGGCTCCCTTTCTTGTGGGGCTTGTGTTAGGATAGAATAAGGGGCTTCTATGATGATCAGCGAGTATGTTAGCTTCCCGTTACTA